ATAGCCAATAAATTAAAATACGACTACAGCCTATACACACTACGAGTAAATATACGGATCCTCACGCGCCGAAGCCTGGCGAGCAACTGAAGTAGTGTGGACGAAGATTTACGAGCACAAGTAAAAGCCAGACGAGTCTCCCGACGAGCACAAGCACAGGTAATGTGGACGCGCCTTTAGAGTATGGCTGGACCCAACCTCCCACAAAACCAGTATCGGCTGTTTTGCTGGGGATAAAGCAGCAGAGGCGTGAAGCTAATTTCTCAACTCAATATACTAACGAAGTTCAGAATGTAGTTATACCTCCATTCCCCCGTACACCTTCATGACAATGTTTAATTAAGGATAGGGACAATTTTGCATTTATCGGACGTTACATAGATATTTCACATGAGAAGGATAATTTAAAATGAGAATAACGAATGAGATGTTGTTTAATTTTCATATAAATAAAGCTACTTGGCTCATTCGTATACTGATTTTTTTTTTGCAAGGCACTTCTCAAAATTTGCCTGTGGGATTTACGAAGATGTTTATAGCAAATCATAAAATGAGAACTGCTAAGACTCCAGAAGAAAGGGAGAATTGTTTGTTTCTGGTATGATATTTAGCTTTACTTTTGTACACTAGAAAAAGGAGTCATGAAATAGTTCCTTCTAGTCACCAGCTGAAAATATCAGGAGAAGAAACAAATTCTGTGATCACTTAGGAGCTTCACTTTGTGCGTAAAATTTAAATTACAAAAGAAACGGCTTCCCTGACAATTTTATTAACACAGCAGCGTAATCCTGTGTAGGCAAAGCCTCTTGTGTTGATTTAAAGAAAACCCTAGTGAGCTGCTTGGCTCTATCGCGTAGCAAAAAACAGCAGCCAATTATAAAAAAAAATAGGAGTTACTTGCTACAATTGTCAGTATAGCTGCCATGAGATATGAGTTCTGGGTCACCTGGCCCATTTATCGTCAAAAAATAAAACGGGCTGTTTTTAATCAATTTTCAGTTCATATGAAATTACATGTAACAATTCTTTCCTCACACGAAACACTACTTGTGTTCGTTAACAACCGATTAAATCTGTTCAGGGAAATGGTCTTGTTTATCATGAGGTACATGTGAAACGAGTAAATATACACTCTGTGGGCAAAATGCAGAGTTTTTGTACATGTTACATTTACTTGGGTTTAAAGTAGTGGGAAACTTTCTCATACCAGTAGACTGCAACTGGGAAGGGGATGACTAATTCTACAATTCTCATGTCTATCCGAAAGAAACTCGATTGAAATTAATGCATCATACATAATAGATCCCAAAGATATGGAGGTTACCTTTTCCATCACCACAACAAAAATTATGAAGCGAAGAAAAATTATTTACCTATGTCCAGAATTACAGTAGCAACGAGGAGTAAAGTCTTCCAGGATCTAGCGCTGTGTAGTCGGATAGAGGTTGGCCGAAGTTTTGGAGGAACGTACTGGTTAAATTTTTGGTTTAGTCTTATACAGAAACGTCATCGAACTTCTATCTAGCTACACGGCGTTACATCCCAGAAGTCAAGAGCTGTGAGAAACCCATGTTCAATGAATTATCGGTATTTATCTTCCTTATGATTCCGAATTCTATAAACTCTGACTATGACTCTTCAAAATGCGCCAGCGAATGCAAGAATTATTTATTGTGAACTTATTCTTTCGAGTGCTCCGTTTTGTTAATAATCCTGCGGGAATTAATGCAATTTTAAATTGTAGCTTTAATTGACTTCTTCGTTTTTCAGTGGAATACATCTGAAGAACACTAAATCTTACATTATATACTAATAGTTGAAATCCAATTCGCAGTATCTGTTTCTCTAACAAATTCACGAAATGTAGCTCACGTGTTACATTTTGAAAACTCATTCAGGATCGGAAATAACTCCACGAATTTTTCGGCAGAAAATTTTTTATATATCGTTTAATTCTGCATTTGACTATTTGCTCACAACTCTGGTCTCATATTTCGGAAAGTAAATGCGACATCTTTAATACTTAAAAACCAACATATAAAGTAACAAATTTTTCAAAATGTGCATTTCCGGGAAGCAGTATCATTCCACAAGTGAATATCAAACGAGGAATATAAAGTGATAAATTGTGTCACTCATTTAATTACGATCAATCAACAACTTGCAGCACATTTAGAGCGAATATTAATAGGAAATACCTATTTCAATAGATACGATTTCATGTTTCATAACAAGTCACATTTTCAATGTCGACGAAATCTCTATAAATATCAGATTCTAATTATTTTTATTAAAACTTTCTGAATAATGAAACCATTCTTATGAATGTAACAGTCACTAATCTTACCTGATAACCTTCATCCATGGCACTAGAAGATCAGCCGCTATCTAATCATTTTTCGGCACTCAGAAAAATAGTAGGTTGGGAAATTTTAAACATGAGGTAAAACAAATACGAATTGGTAACAGTATGCACGTTGATTCGTAATTCCAAGAATTTGTCGTAAATGACAAAAGTGAAAAGCGAATTAATCAATTTAATGACAAAAATCTCAGCTTTTATTATTATATTTTTATGAATCATCTTGCATACACCGCTTCGTCGAATTTTAGTTTCTCTATTATCTGCAAAATAAGTTTTTCAATGTATCTTCTGTACAAAAAAATTATTCACATTGATGGAATTGCATGAAGCCCGGCTTTCTGCAGGCAAAAGCCCCAGTAACATACTATTTTCTGCACATTACTCGTAATATCACAAAACACACAACACTTCCTTTCTTATTTACAGTACATTTTAAATAGAGCAGAAAGTTACAGTTAATTCATATGAAACTATGTGAGCTGTAAATGTTAAAGATTTGACAAAATATTTTCATTTTCCAATAACTGGTAAAATGTACACTCTTGAAAACATAAATCATACTACGCAAGCAAAGAGCAAGGCAAATTGAAGACGATTTACAAATTAAATCTAATTTTACAAATTAACAGCACATAACTTAAATTACAAGAAAGTGATAAATATGCATGTGATTGTTGTAATGAAGACTGATTCAACTGATTCTTTATGTGTTTAATATGTTAATTTGCCAGTAACAACTCGTCTATATCATGTGTATTTATGCAAGTCACGTTTGTTAATTTATTGTATGCGAAGTGAAACAGGCTCCAGGAAATATTACTCACATGTACAGTGCCCTCTTCTTTGCAATTCATAACTTCCAGCACTCTAGTTTACATCGAAGGCACTCAAGCAACTAAGGTTCACTCTAGGAATGTTGGCAGTATCAATAAACTTTCTAGTTTGTAGGTAAAAATGTTTCGATTCTTAGAAGGCATGCTCTTCACTGATTGGTAGAATTTCCTTTTCACCCTCCTGTATAATTCCATCTTACAGTCTTTTTTAGATGTTCTTTCAACCCTTTCCTTGTACTCAAGAAACTTTCTCTTTATAAGGCTACAGAGAAAATGAGCACCTCACATTTTTAAAGTCTAGTCTCTTCACAAAATGTTAATTCTGTTGTATGGGCCTACCACAGTAGAAGGGAAAGTTGGTCCTTCATCAAAGGGTTAAAAACTTACCAGAAACAAGCCAACCCTTTCAGATTTTGCTACAAAAAGATTGTTTGATAGTATTTTGTTGGCAATATTTTATGATTTTTGTAAGGTAGAAATGCTTTTTAAGCGTAAAAGCTACTCTGTTGTTGAAAAGAGTTGGGTGTTTGAGGACAATAAATTGCAGCTCCTAACAACCAGCTCGAAAGAGAATGAGGGGAAACTCGGCCTTTGCAGTGAGACAATTCTCAGTTCCTTGAAAAGGTTTTCGGATTTGGAACTCCTGCCCAAGGAATATTGAATGCTACGGAACTAATAGGCTTTGATTACAACATGTATAAGTGCATAAGTATGTTAATGAGTGTCTGGCATCCTCTCTAAGTAACAATAATTTTCTTGTGCCGTAACAAGGTCTGATATTCGGCGCTTAATTTCATTAAATTCCAGATGTAAATAAATTATAATTTTTCACAATGTGAAGTACCCAAGACAATGGTTATGAAGAGTACGGTTTTCAGGCTTGTAACACTAAGTAGTAGTTCAGAGAGAACCGGACTTGTCGGAATAATATGTCTCCATCTTCAGAGTGAAAGAATAAGCCAAGTACAGACCACGCAGAAGCAGGCGACAAGTTGAGCCGACTTCAGCTGTTTCTTAACTTAATTTGCCTTCCAACCATGAAGATGGAGGTCATATGTTCCTCTGAAACATCCTACTCTCTCCGAAGTGTACAGCGATGCAACTCAGTAGACCGTATTCATCAAATTACTACTACTATTTTATCGAAATAATTCGGAGAATTTTATAAAATTATTAAAGACTAAAATCTTATAACAGCTTTTATAGTAATTACTTCTTACTCCTTTCAACTTGGACACGGACGTTTCGTCGGTGTCTTGATGCTCCTGGACGATTGGTAAACGACGCCATCGCACGGAAGAACACAGTGTGGCCTCCTGTTACGTATACTGAAGGTATACCGGAAAAGAATACACTCAGGATACATTCAGTATACGTACAGGGGGTTCTACATTAATCGCCGTGACCCCCACCGCCACGTCGCATCAGGAACTCCGAGGACTTCACATCAACAGTCGCTGGTTAACAGGAGACAGCAGTGATTTTATGCATGTGGTCATGTGAGCGGTAGTCAGAGAAAACGTAGGCCTACTGCTAATAAGAGAAATGCTTAACATGCTATTTTAGTGAAGAAATATATGTGTACAGAATATGTCGCTATTAAACAACCATACTAACATTACTATTAAAGTAAGTTCTAACAGTGTGATCACAAATATGTATGAATCCTCCAAGATCACTTCATTTTCACAGCTCTGTGGGATAGGTTACCAGCACCAGTAACAGGTACACGAACATATTAAATATTTCATGTACAGTGATATTTTTTCAGAAATATTTAACTGAATTCCCATATTTCGTGCTCTTAAGAAATATACACCTTTAGTTGATTGAATGTTACAGAAAACATTTCTACATACACATCTTCCATGCAACGTAGGAATGCGCGGTTTGGGCAATTATGATATTTATATTTAAGATTTTCTGATACACGCTCTGGGGTGTATTTCGACACTTGAATTATTTACGAGTAAAAACTAGCATTTTCTACAGTAATATTATTTTTGATTTAATGAATTGAATTATGTCTTTTTCTCTAGCTAGTTAGTAGAAAAGCCAGACTGTTTAAAGCATAAACACTGACACTTTAATCTCAGTAGTGTTATTATGTATCTTTTTGTATCAAGAGTTAAGTGGTAAAAAATAAATCAAATAATTGTCATTAATATCCTTCATTTTTTCATGTTGCCCATTAACGCAAAAATAAATAAATTCATTTTGTATACTCATTACATTATGCTGTGATGCACTGTATTTTTCTATGATGTACTAAATACTACACTGTGCTGTGCTATACTGTATTGTATTCTATAGGTCACTCTATCTTTATGTAGTCTATTATGATATACAGCACATTATCATAGGCCTACTATGCTACCATACATAAACTACTAGTGGCCTACACTACATTATATGTATATGGGTTGTATATATATATATATTTTGTATGTCATAATTTCATACATGTGTTGTATGTATTTACGTTTATGAGGTCTCAGATTTTTATTGATTGACCTTCTTACATAAATTAATATTATTTTTCCTCCTTAGCAGTATCACCATTTGTACCTGCTGGAATAACTACTTACATGTATGATAAAAAGGACTGTTAACACATGGAGTGAATGTTGAGGATGAATGATGCAATATACAGATAAGTTTATAATCAAAAGTAGACTTATTTTTTTTTTTTTGTAAATATTGGGTGTAACGCCATTTTGTCCGTTACGCATATCGACCAGAATTTGTGTTTGTTTTTAGGAGTCATATTACCAATAGTTGTTCTTCAAATCATAATAAAATTTTTAAACAACTACCATAATTTCCATATGTGAAATGACCGCTCTTGTGTTGTGTTGTAAACTAATGTGGAAGTTGGTTAACCGTCACTGACACAATGTCGGGTTAATATATTAGTTCGGCGTCAGTTACAGGATATTTTTAGTCAAAGTTTGTTAAATTTGATCCGTAACATCATGCGGAAATTATTAAATTAAATTTATTCACAGCTAAAACCATTTCCTAGTAATTTAGAAGATTCTTAGCTCTGCGTCTATTGTCTTATTGATTTCCGTTATTCACTTCTGAATAATATGTATACCTGTCAATGCAGGTTTAAGAATTATTCTTGTTCAATTCACTTTTGCATGTGTATATTATCGTATTCACACTAGGAGCGTTGTTGAATCATAAAGGCATTAGAAACAGCTTCCAGAAACCAAGAGAAAGAACTTCTTTGTCTGGAACTACGTATTTTTGTTATTCATATTGAAGTCATGAAAGAAAAGTTTTTCTCAGTACCTTTACAGTAACTCTCCTGTAAATATATTGGAACTGAGCCTTTAAATCAACTAAATCTGCATGTTACTAAAGCTAGACAGGTGAACTTATATGGCACATACATATTTCAGTTTGCTAAATACTACGTAACATATGTAATTTCTATTAACATTCCTCATAACCAGTTTTGTGCAAAGTAAACGCAGTGGCCTGAAGTGTTATGATACATTTAATTCCACCTCGAACTGGGCCTATATTAAAATTTTGAAGGTGCTGCGGTTAATTCGGATATACTTAGTATTTAGTAAATTGCCAAACTTGTTTTGAATATTCATGAGTTAATTACCCTACAGTTTAGAGATAACTCTTAGAAATATTGTAAAAATTACTTATTGGAGCGATGGAATTAATATTACATTTTAAAATTCCTTGTCTTGTTCACTGATACAGAAGAAAAACTAACATTTCAAACTTTCTTTGTTTCTATAGTTTCTTCTTAAACTAATTCACAGTACACAGATTAGAATCATAACCAGTCAGGCTACAGACACTAATTGGGCTGTCTGTGTAATAGTCTCTTTGACGTTTTTATAGAACCTTCAAAGCGATCTCAGAGTTTGCTATGTGACTGTGGTATGGAATAAATAATAGGATACTAATGTAATGAATATGTACTGGCAGACAGATTTATGAGCTGATATTTTGAGGAGATATAGTCCTATATGTAGCTTCAGCATGACTATGACAAATATGTCTATATAGTGAACAATGTCCCGTTTTAATTAGATAAGAATGCTATTAATTAAGACTGGTTTATGGCGTATGATGCCGTAATGTTGTCGAACTCGACGATTTGGCCTCTTTAATTAACATCCTCGGTGTTTCTCCTCACAGCTATATATCTGAAAAAGAAAACATACGAAATGAATATATACAGATATACAGACACTGTAGTGTCACACATAAATCTAGGCTATCATCTACCATGGCTAGTGATTATCTTACTCCTTTGGAAATATGAAAATAGGAAGAATTCAAGGGATTTCAGCTGTCTTCCATAGGCATTTGTATGAAGTGTTTTCAGTTATTCATATCATCCAGTAAGGATTATGAAACTTCAGAATTTGATTACTTGCACAAAAGAAACATGTTAGAATTGAAAGAGAAAATTCTTTGCGTCAAGACTGAATGTGTCGTTCCAAATAAATCTCCTTTCTCGAAATTTTATCTGCGTAAATAGGGTGCGCAATAAAACTTCAGACCTCGTTGTAAAAAAAAAAATTAATTATCTGAATGGTTATCTTGTAAGTTACTGCGGTAGCGTAGTTGGTTGAGGGGCTATGCTACAAGCCGGAAGGTCAAGGGTTTAATTCCCGATGAGGTCATTGGATTTTTTCTCAATTGACCTAATCCTTCCAGCCGCACTATGGCCATGGGCTCGACTCAGCCTCTAACAGAAATGAGTACCAGGAATTAATTAAATAATTTTCCTGGGGAGTAAAGGGCGGCCGGCGCGTAAGGTGACAACCTTACCGCCATTTATGAGACGATTGTCTACAAAATGTGGGACCCTCAACGTCTCATAACCCTATGGGCCTTCATGGCCTGGTACAGGGATAACTTTATTTTTTTTACTTTTATTTACTTTTTATCTAGTAAATTATTTAAATGACTCAGTTTGAATTCTTAATTTGAATGTTGCCGACATTTTTAATACTTTTGGTAGAAATCTCAGTTTCTATATTGTATAAGGATTCTGCAGAATTAAGATTATGCCAACATAAATGATTATGTTAAGTGTACTGGAACGTATATAGGTAACTTATTTCGCATTAAATATGCAACATAAACCCCTATGAGTAACGGTCCATAGAAACCGCTTTCTGTTGCTTCAAGCCGTTTGCGGTTACTCCTCCCCGTTGGCCTTTCTGTGTCCTAAGTTATTCGTAAGTTTACCCACAGGAGATCATAGTAACACGGATTTAACATATTTCACAGTGGATGAGCATTTGGGGAAATCAAACCATTTTATTTAAATGCCTGAAGTTCCTGAATTTTACTCCCTAACTGAAGTTCCAAAGATTGTTTATACAGTTGTTATCAGACACCCGCCACTCGTGATTACAGAATGCTGACTCTATTTCTTCTGCTGCTAACGATGCTTCAGTAAGGTCAGGGTAAACGTATTTTGCACGGAGCCAATTCAATCTGGCACAAACACTGTAAGTTAAAAAGTTACAACATAGAGTAAATTAAACTGTAGCGTCTGACGTTATCTGTCGCATCTTGAAGAGCTGGCAGTCGTTACACATAGCTACTAACATGTAACCTGAATTCCTGAATGTTCCAAAGAAAGTCGCCCTGTGTACGAGTAGTACGACCATATGAACATTCACCTTTTTAATATTAGAAACAATTTCGGAAATAGCTTGATTCTATTCAGGCGTGAGGGAATACAACCGTCGGGTCTGATAAGCAATATCCAGAGCAGTGTTTGAACTTACTTCATTCAAACCGACCCTTCGGAGTAGGTTTCCTCAAGAATAAAAGGAAATCGATATCCGAAACTTCGTATTTTCACCACGACGATTTGTATTTTTTGTATTGCTAGTGGGGTGGGACTAAGTCACTTGTACTGCGTCCACTTCTGGCCTATTGTCCCAGCCCCAGATGATAGGTGAGGGTGATTGCGGAGCAATTGTGGAATGAAGATTGGCAGGGGAAACCGAAGTACTCGGAGAAAACCAGCCCCAGCGTCACTTTGTCCACCACAAATCTCACTTGACCAGAGCCGAGATCGAACCCTGGCCGCCGCGGTGGGAAGCCAGCGACTAACCGCTTGAGCTACGGTGCTGCCCTCGACTATCTGTAATTCCCAAGAATTGTTGTCTTTTTAGTGCATTTATTGACCTTGAAGATGGCACCTTTTTACAACATTTCGTTGTCCATGTTCCGTATTGGCCGTTATCTGGTACCAACCCCGATCCTTGGTCCGTGGGTCTATTGTACCAAAATCTAAATATATGCATGAACATTTACTGACACTGCTCATTTCGACGCTGAGGATGTGTGTAATATGTACTTCCGAAACGTCGGTACCCCTGCGCTCATCCACATGACACAAGAACCCAAGATCACAATTAACATCAATGTTTGAAATGGTTAAAAGTTCAAAACAAAATATTTCTTCACGTCACAACAAATTGGTTACAACTGTTCCGCCTTCTTCACGATGCTCTAGGTGTATCCGTTACAAATACAAAGATATAGAACATGTTTCTGAGGTAATCATGAAGTGAAAAGCCTAATGAGAAGCTTCAGAGTTTACGTTCTTCGCCGAATATTACTATGGTATTTACGAGTAGATCAAGGGTTTCAGATGAGAAGGTCCATGTAGCACACGCAGAAAGGCGAAAAAATGCGTACCGAACTTCATTTTAAAGTCAGAAGAGGAGGAATAACTTGAAAGATCTAGACGCAGAGTGAGAATAATATTAAAATTGATCTGAAATATACAGGCTGTGGGGCGTGTAGGCACACATCTTGTGTCCTAGAGTAGAGACTACTTGTGGGTCCTTATGGACATGATAACTAAGCTATGAGTTAAATACGTATGCAGCGGGGAATTTCTTGACGAGCTTAAAGACTGTTAGTATCTGAAGAACTCTTCTTCCTGCAGTAAGTTAATGCAGTGACTGTCAGATAATTGAAGCTATTATAACATAGATAAAAAAAAGGTAAAGCAATCTCTGTAACAGGCCGTGAAGGGCCATAGGGCTGTGAAACGTCGAGGCTCCCACATTTTCTAGACAATCTGCTCACAGATGGCAGTGAAGTTGTCAGCCTTACGCGCCGCCGCCCTTTACCCCCCCAGGTAAATTCCTGGTACTCATTCCTGTTTTGAGGCTGTGTGGACCCCAGGAGCATAGTGCGGCTGGAATGATTAGGTCAATTGAAAAATCCAATGATATTATAGGGAATGGAAGCCACGACCTTCCGGTTTGTAATATAGTGCCTCAACCAACTACACTACTGAGGGGTTCTTTTTAAAATAGGTATAATAAATGAAAAGTAATATGGAAAAAAATGGGAAATATTCTATCAAAAATTTAACCTACTGTTCTCAGCAAACGTTATTTTGGACACTGGTCACAATTTAACCTCATGTAGTTTCATAATGGGCTCCTAAAGGCGGTGTTTCTCCATTATAATATTCCTACTACAGCTTTTGCTGTATTTCTGAAACGACACCAAGGGTCCTAGGCTGTGTGTAGCTGCATGTAGTTGAGTGGGGTCCATGAGTCTTACCACGGAAAAACAGAAAAGTAAAGGAGCTTGTTAAGCCATTTCGGCATAAGAAGAATATCACATTTGAGGTGGTATACTCAGGCCGAATTTATATACTAGGGCAGTAAAAAGCCGGAAGGGAAGAGACCATTAGGAAGACTTAGACTTATGTGGATTACGTTAAAATGGATCGTAGAGAAATTAGATGGAATGGCATGGCCTGGATTAATCTGGCTCACTATATGAACCCGTGCAGTATTTTTCCGAACAGGGTAAAAATGCTTCATGTTCCATAAAATGTTCTGAAATTCTTCAGTAGCTGAGCGACTGGTGGCTTCATAAGGAATAATCTCCCTGAAGTTACTTTGCTGGAAGTTAAGTAGCTCGGCAATAAATTTAAAAAATATATATATATATGCGTATATCTAAATTTTTCACCTGTACTGCCCACGCTGCACGCCAAGTATGTTCCGAAGCACACACTTCGGGAAAAACCGCCTTCGGTGCCTTTATTTCATTAACTGCAAAATACCTTTTTTATGGTGTACTATGGTAGAATGAAAGAAGAAACAAGTACAGAATTTTTCTGGAAATGGCCGAGAAAAGTATTTTAGAGTAAGATGGCGGTTTTGAGGGACTTCAGGGACCTGGGCAAAACTTTCTCGCGGATTCCCCTCGTCTTTCCACTCCTGTGACTGGTTTATTCGTTCTACAGCGTCAGGAAAGAGGCGCCGGCAGGCAGGGATGAATAGTGGGGGAATAGTCCCCATCTTCCTGACAACTCTTACCCCATCGCCCGTGAGAATTCTTTGCCTGGCTCAGCTATAGGTTTTATTGTGTGGACTCGACTTGAGCTCACTGAAAACAGGCTCTAAATACAAGTATTTATTGTAGCAACATTGAATCTTTCAGGTTGATACTAGAATGTAAGTTACAGAATTGTGTAGCCAATCAGGTTAACTAAAGTAGAATATCAGTACACCCCACTAAGTACCTTGGCTTTAATGTGACAACATAAATTTCTTCTTAAATCTTTGGCACTGGGTGAAAATGAAAGGTAAGGGTCACGCCCCGGCCGCTTTATCCCCGGGGAAATATCTTCCGGTATCCATAGGATAGGAGACTGAATGGGCCCCAGAACCGCCCCGGAAGACGTGGAGAAGAGAATAATCTCCATCTTCGTCGGAAATCGAACTTCGATTCTTCCGTCGTCCAGTCAGTATCCTAGTTACTTACTGAGATCCTAGACACATGGTTAACTAGTCAATTAACAGAAATTTAGGAGTCTGACTGTCTGGTCTGTTTATGTAATTGAAATATGTATGTTTGGTTTATGAATTTATTCTGTTTTTCATTTTAGGAATACATTTCATTCTTATTATGAAAATGTTTAGCCAGAGCTGTAAGTTAAAGCAGTAAGTTAATGGGCTGCCTAATAACTCAAGTGGATAGGTGTTGGCTTCTTACTGCGGAGCTTCGAGTTCAAACCTGGATGACTTTATGTGAGATTCGTGCCGGACAAATTTGCACAACAGCAGACTTTTCTCGAGTTCCTTATTTTCTTTTCCTGATCACTATAAATTCACGATTGCTCCATATTCATCCATTAGCCATCCTTGAGGTTTGTGATAGCCATAAAACTATCATTTTCTTGGTATAAGTTCTGGGTTTCAGTTATGACAGGGCGCTCGGTTGGTTACGGAATCCGTTAAGTTAGAAATAAGGATGTGAGGGTGTGCGTTCATCTGATTCAGGATATGTGGGTAAATTGTGGGCTCTTATGACAACGGTAGTGAACCTTCGGGTTCCATACTATTGAGTTAGTGAACCGCAGTTAGATTCTCAAAAATTACTCTGCTTCATGAGGCTTGTTTGTTTGTTAGTTTCATGTTAGTTTCACTATGTTTTTTTATTACGTTGAGGTAAGTGCTAATGAAGAAGGCACAATCCTAAACACAATTAAATGAATCTAATTTTTACCAGTTGTATTTGTAAATACGTTTGTCGCATAACTTTATATACACTGCCATTTAATTGCATTTCATATCTGTACAAATGTGACTTAAAACATAATGTAGGCTTTTGTTGATTTGGCTTACTTTAAATGGGATTTTATAGAGAATTCGGTTGGTATCCTCACTAGTTGAAGACTTTTAGGGCGGAGGCATATATTTAACTCCCGGTAGTGTCATTGGTTAGCGTTGTAAAGACAAGAATAAAAGAAAAAGACCCAAAGTTGGACGGTTAGAGAGTGTGAGGCACTGCACGTATGTTTCTTTATGTTGAAACGGATGGTGAGAAGAATAGGATGGGTGGCTATTCAACTAGCAGCGGCCATGTTGGGAGATGTACGTTTGGCTGCCGTACTCACAAGGGGCCTTTAAATTCATCTGTTTTCCATCCTCCCTTTCTGTCCCTCACCCTATTGTGTTACAGTCTAAAGAAGGGTGAGTGTGATTCAAGGTTTTCCCCTTGGGGATGCTCTAGAAAGGACGGTGGTACGAGGGTTGCCTATTGAGAAAAGTGATTTACTGAGCCTGAGGTCTCGTGCACGGTTAAGAGAGATAGGATGCAACGTATAGGAATCGGGAACACTCCTTGCAATGTTTTCTATTGTTTATTGTCGCCGTAGGATTCTCTATGGGATTTTCTGAAACCAGTTCAGTCGACTGGCAGCCGAAAGAAGGGAAGTCCGTGTTACATAATAAAGGAACCAGATGCAGTGCAGCAACGGAACTATGAGCAAAAAAATTGTCGCTTATTTCAAATATTCTAAACCATACTGCATTACTCGTGGGGAATTACAATATTTACATAGATATACAAGTTATGAGTAATATAATTTCCAGAAATAAATTTATATATATATATATATATGTTGACACTAAATTCGCCGACAAGCGGCGGTCTCTCGGTCGGTATATTTCGCTTGCGGACTAAAACCACGGAGTTGGTTTTGTATATATATATATTGGAAACAGCTGGAAGAATATTGACTTCAGTTGGGTGCGCTAACAAACATTTTTATAGAGTTGCTTGATTTCAATCGAAAATATATTTAATAACAGGACATATGGGAGATTTTTAAATGAACATCCTTTTTTCTTTTTAAGTTTAGCCCTCTCAAGCATTTCATATGATTTTATCTTGGAAAACACTATTTGTAAGGGGCGCGCGATAACGTAGTTGGTTGAGGTATTATGCTACGAGCCGGAAGGTCGCTGGTTCGAGTCCCGATGAGGTGAATTTTTCCAATTCATCTAATCCTTCCAGACTAATTCTGGCCCTGGGGTGGACACTGCGTCTAACAAAAATGTATAGCAGGAATATTCTTGTGGGGTAAAGGGCGGCCGGCGCGTAAGGCTGACAACCTTACCGCCATCTGTGAGCAGATTGTCTAGATAATGTGGCGCCCTGAACGTCTCACGACCTTCTTAACATGATTTGTAAAGTGTACATTTACACCCCTTCAATGTTAAAGACAAAATGAAGTTAAAAAATACCTTCAGTTTCTGTAGATAATATTCATTTTATTCCTGTCAGAACCACCACCACTTCCAGGAGGTGGATTTTGCTGTCTAGGAAATACTTCGGCATATATGTATCATTTTCAGGTTGGATTCTTGTTACAATTATTGTGATAGACAGCAAAACCCACCTTCTGGGAGTAGTGTTGTGTCAAAAAGGAATGAAAAAAAATATATATATAGTGCTTACGTAACAGGATGCAACAGAATATGAGAGACCTTCCTTTTCTGCTCTGAAAAATTTCTTGTAAGAAAAATGAAAGAAAATCTCCTGCCACCTCTTGGCAGTACAAGCAACAACTTAAGTTTTCTTCAATATTAACAATACGGGAACAAAAATGACATTTCCTTCCACAAGTAAATGAAACAGGAGAATGTTATGTATTTGTGAACAACAAAATATGAGATATCATATTTACATGTCAACGAATATTAAGGCTATTGTCTTCGGAGATGTGACGCCGAATATTGGAGCAGTATTATCCTAAAAGTGTTAACAATCTACCAGATTACACGACGTCACTTCACAGAAAACTATATCTTATTGCCAAAGATAATATTTTAATTGCTTCATGCCTTTTCACATTCACCTTTAATTCATGCATACATGCATAATCATATTAGAAACATGTGCATAAGTAACTTTGAATTTCATCATTAGTTTGCTTTCATAGTTATGTGGAAAGTTACAAACGTGAATTCACATTTTGCACAATTTTAAATTACATGAATCATTTTCTTATTACAAGACAACTGGAATTAAAAATTCGCTGTAGCCGGAATAAGCCAATAGCTCAACTGGTCACCTTGTTGGCTTTGAATTTAAGAAGCCCAGCATGCAATTCATGTTACTTATGTTGCGTTTCCAGTGACCGAACAAGATTTTTCCAGTTATCGGAAAGGGCAAAGTCGCTAGAGCGGAAAAATTCCAATGAATGGCCCTCGTATAACGCGTGCATATTTCATGTCTTGTGATATTTATTTTGTTTTACAAGATCAAATTTAACTATCGAATAAATTAAACATGTTCCACTTACCGAGGTTACAGATGAACCGGAAGGTTAGCAGCCTCAATCGATCTACTAGAACTGAACAGATACATTGGCAGAAGTATTCCTGCAAAGAAATATGCAGAAGTGTAATAAAGGACCACAAACCAATAACAGGGTTGATAAATTTCTTATAGAAACACGAAGAGGTGTTCATTTTCGAAAACGAAAGATGTGTTTTGCAGCGTTTCTAGAAGAAAAGCATAGTTTAACTTCATATCATAAGGACGTTAATTGATTCCATAACTGACTCTGTCATAGGAAAATGCAGCAGTATGTGAATTGCAAATGATAATTATTTATTTGGTTTGTTGAAGAAAGATTTTAATTCGCAAAAACGAATCAGGTATGAAAACACAAGCTCATAAATTTAAAAAATATGTTTATTTCTTAATGAGATATTGCCTTTTTAAATAACTTTCTTCTCACATCCGGCTGCTGCTGCATACACTGTTAAATAACTGTTAGTTAAATACATTCAAAACCGAAAGAAAATTATCTCTAAACCAAGATGTCATCTTGGAAATTAAGTTTATGTTAAGTTACTTGATATGCATAAGCCTATACCTGTGAAGGTGAATGTGCGTTGATATCAATCAGAATTAGTGATTTATATTTCTAAAAAAATATTATTTTCTCAGCTGGAATCATACTAAATATGCTTGTCGCGATGCCCTGCTGTTAGACAGCACTCTGTACTCACAGCAGTCAATATTTATTAAAACAATAATGCAAAAATTACTAAGTTCATGAGCTTATCACAAAAGCATGGGTTACGTTCTGGTTATATTAATTGTACTACAGATATTATAGTAATAAGCGTAGTTTATATTATGGCAATGAAATGTTAGCACTTAAGAAAAAAAACAAATTATTATATTTGTAACATACAGAATATGAAATAAGGAAAGCAACATTTAAGGTAGGCTACCGAGAATTAGTGAATAGAAGTGATACTTAATTCTTATTATGATTTTATGCATCTGATACACAATACACGTAATATGTTGAGAGAAAGTTACTGAAATAGATATGAAGTGAAAATAACTTTTGGCATAATTCCATTCTGAATACTTCCTTAACAGTGAAATTCATCAGAATATTTCATTTTTTCAGAAGAGGTGTAAAGGAAGGCGTGCAGAGAAATATTTCAGTCTCCACTGAGAGTTTAAGAATGTAGAAACGACTACATGTAAATAAAATTTGTCTCCATTCAGTCATATAGAGGCATAATTTGCATAAATAAATTAACCTAGAATAAACTTACCTTCACATATGTATACATTTTAATATTTCCCAAATATTTTTAAGAATACATTTAGTTTTACAGAAACATTCGATTGCATTAATACTCTTGTGTCATCTGTTTTAGTCTCTGGATCTAAACGTTACCTGTAACAACACAGGCAGTTAGCATGCAGCCGGAAAATGCATGAACAATAGACTTACCTTTAGTTGTGTGGTTTTACTGCCGTGATTTCCTATGGAGAGGAGAAACAATAGCAAATATAGATTTCTTTTCATTTAAGTAGTGTTCAGTCATCTAAGCCTCGGCTGAGAACAAAGAGACAGATAGAGAGAAAGAAGGAAGGCTGCAGGAACAGGGATGTAAAGAAACAAAGAAACTAAAACAAGGATAGAAAGAAAGCATTGCGTGGGTTCTGAAAATAAGTACTCTCTGCTAGTTGGCTTGACTTCTGGTATGATGGCGTCTCGTCTGAATTCGCTCTAGCTTCGGTGCTTCTGAAACATCGACGGCGGGTTGCGGCGACGGGCGGGGTTTTGTTGGCGGCGTCGTGGTGGAGTAACGTCGCGACGCTCAGACATGCGAGGAGTGACCCACAGTATGTGCTTTTCCTACAGAAGCTTCCTGGCAACTTGCTACCATAACCACTACTACGACGACGTCGACAACGACGCCGACGCCACCGATGCCAATAGCTGCGGGGAGAGGCGGGTGTAAAGAACAGAGGGAGGGAATGTCATGGTGGATATACCTGTCTCCTTCACACTTAAGTGAAACATGAAATCTGTCTCTTTCACTCGCCATGAACACTATCTTGCCTGGGCTCACAGAGTTGAATATAGCAGTAAACTGTGAGGGAGATACTGCACAGCGGGTCTGAGGGTAGAGGGGGGAGTTTACTCTGAACATAGAAAGGGAGGGGCTACAGATAAAATGTGGGAGCTCTGGGGGCTGGGCTTCTATGTCGATGTGCATACTAGTTTATGATATTTTTTGAGAGAAAGAGAGAGAAGAGAATTTGACTTAGAATGTGGGGAAAAAAGAGATAAGATTGTAAGACCGAATATGTAACAGCATGAAAAGAGTGAGACGAAGAACTATTGTGAACTGACGTTTATCTCAGTACAAGAAGTGAACGCTATTCAGTGCTGTTGGATAAGAATGAAGCTAGAAGGAAGAGATAGAGGAGGTGGATACAGCAAAGAAAGAAAAGAGGGAAGGAAATTAATATTTTGGGCGTCAAGGAACAAGCGCTCCAAGTGGAAAAATCCGGCAACTTTCAAATGTTACACAGATACCCAAATATATCTGTAAGTGGCCTCAAACTTTAAACCATGAGTTCATAGTCACATGTTGATGCTTCAGTTCCGCGGCGATATTTGTATCATTAGCATAATTTGCTTCCGATTTAAAAAAATGCAATTTTAAAAACAACTTGATAAGAAGGGTACGAACTTCTGTGTTGTATTGACGTAAGGTTTGATAGAAATTCACGGATATTTCGGAGCAGGTATGATCTCCATTTTCGAAGACTACGCCAAGCAAAAAGCGATAAAATGGCCACCCAATTATTGTACACTATTACGCAGTGGCAGTCATACGTCTGTCTTATGGCTCTACAGCCCTTGTGGAATTTGGCCGCTTTTTCAGTTTCTTGATCTAAACACAGTCGATAGGACTCCTTGGACGGGGGATCAGTCCGTCTCAAGGCCGTTACACCCAAACACAGAACTCCGTGTATAGAGTGGGATTCGAGCCCACGATGCAGTGTTCGAGCTGGCGAAAACGGTGCGTACCTCTCAGACCAAAAGGGCACTGTAATCGGCAAAAGAATACCAACATCACGTAGTGTTCTCAAGCGGTCACTCATCCAAGTACTAACAACGCTCAGTGTTGCTTAACGTTAGTAATCGGATAAGCACCGGTGTTTTCAACATGCTATGCCCGTTGCCGGAATACGTTAACAAAATATGTTAAATTGTTACATTGTCCACAAAATAATTTCTTGATTCAATGCATTATTATTAATAATTATTACCAAGCAATATATTTTGGGTTCAGATTAGACAGAAGGCAGAAATTTTGAAATTAGGAACGACCTTTGCAGATTTAATCAATAATGATTAAGTGGACTACAAAATTTCGTTTCAAACTTTGTTATAAAGGAATAAAAAGGCAAGATCACGGTGACACTTGAGTTTGTAAGCGGCTGTGAATTTTCAGCGCCTGCGCAAATTAGCCCCGCAAGAAAACTCAGGCCGTAGACTTTTAGCGCTTGGGCCAGTAAGACTCCTCGACACACACGTATACACACAGATTTTTACTACTTCCAATCCTACTGTTTTCTTGTTATAATGCCACATATTTTTTGCATCAGAAAATTACCATATATATTTAAAATGTATTCATAATTTTTTCGATAAAGTGTCACAGTTATCGGAAACAACTCTGAAACAATAGTACACATCTTGAAGAAACCGTTAAGGAACACTCAGATTAATATAGGATACTTACAGGAAACAGATTAAGAAGTTATTTGAAGAACTCGCCAAAGATCCGCTGCTATTCATGGTCGAAAACAAATCCACACGCACACACAAGAACAGAATGGCATAGGCACCTTCCTTGAAATTTCGACATGTGGAGTTTCCAAATAATATATGTCGCTTACAATTTGCCTGTTAAAGGCTACCAACAGCGTGTGCCTTCCAGATCAGAATCTCAGAGAGTGTAGAGCGAAAGTGGCACCCTGCACCCCACTCTGTGACCCCACTGTCGCACTGTCTCATCTGCGTAACAGTCGGCATGGCACTGAAACCCATGTGCAAGGAAACAGGGGGAAGATCTGAAGTAAAAAATGAAAACGTAGGGGAAGATCTGAAATACAATTCTCAGCAAAGGTTTTCCGTGCTAGAGTTGGAAGCCTGGAAAATAAAATGGGAACAGAACAGACGTAAGTTGCAGCCTGTCCATTTGTTTATCCATCCTATTCTCTGTTGGGAGAGACAGTTTGAATAGGAGTTTCTAGGTACAGGTTGGAGAAGGATGGAAGAAAGGGAACGTGGATTGACGTAAGGGAAGTAAGAAGAAAAGAGAAAGGAACAAGGAAATATTTTATATAACATTTCCCCAAATAAGTCCCTTCTTTGCACCACCCTCAAAATATGGACCTCGTTTTCTGCCTTAACCACAATGCTTTGAGAGAAAAAGGTCTCTTCTCTTCCCCCCTCCCAACGTTTGCAGATTTCCGTCTTGGACAGTCTTGTCATTCTAAAAAACAGATGCCGTGCTATAATACAGATGGTTTGTCACCGGCTTCCCACTGCGGCGGACCGCTTTCGACCTTAGGACAGATTACGTAAGATATATGGGAAACGAAATGGCTGTGGGACAGGTTTTCTCCGAGTACTTCTGTTTCCCTTGCCAATTCTCATTCCACTAACTGTTCCATATTCACTACTGACACTGTGAAGTCCCAATACTAAGACTTTATAGAATTAAAACCAGAAATTTAAGCAGAGGAGTCAAATTTATCTAAGAAACTACAGTTCTTTTAAATCAGTGTGTTCCAATTGTAATCGTTGCGCAGCGATGGACGTAATATAACACGTTGCAATAATTTTACTTCACACTTAATGGTATTAATAATTTAATATTTATATATCCCATTCAACAATTTTTATGGACAATGTTGTGAAAGGGGAGCACATTGTCTTAAAGAACTCAGTCGAGGAGTACGTGAAGATATCTGTTACAAGCGTATACAAATCCTTTATTCTTAATAAATATTGTTTCGTGAATTAATTAATTAATTTATTTATTTTTATTGATTTCTACAAATGCTATTTTTATCCCTAGCTGCTCAATGTCGAAAGGTAGAATTACTGAACAGTACAGGGTCTGGAGAGAAACGATAGTGCCCTCATTTGAAATACTCCCCGGACATTTGCCTGGAGGAACTGAGGGAAACCACGAAGACCCTCGCGTAGGATAACTAATCCCGAGATTTGAAAACGGGTGTTCAAGATACAAAGTAGGTTTGCTGCCCACTAAACCGCAACGTTTTAGCCCTGTTCTGTGAAGTCTCACTTCTCATAATCGTAACTTTGCTTTCCACATTAACACGGGTTCTTATACTTCATGAATCAAGAGGAATATTACGCTGATAATGACTGTTTCTTCTGAACAATTCATATGCGTTACATTAAACCGCATTGATTCTTAATTAAATCGTCTAGGGCGAAGAGCTGATACAAATATGAAGCAAAGTTGGCCCTTCGCCCGAGAAGTTTTTATTTCCTTTAATGGCAGTGAAAGCAATATTTCCTTCTCCTATGTTTAAATTCGTATTATCCACACTAATTTAACTTCAATGAAATTTATAGCGTTTTGAATGCTTCTAAATACCGTCATAATATGGGAATCAATAAGAAAGGAACAACAACAGCAACAGAATTTTTCAAATTTCACCTATAATTGGTTACTTTAATAATAGACTTGATAAATCTGGCCGTACCACACAGCCACCCTTCATATATTGCCAAAGTAAGTCACGCATTAGGGACAATTTTACGTCTTTTTCCGTTGTATCACGTCCATGCAGGTTTGCATTTCTAGTAAATTTAGTAATTTTACATCTTATACCCAAAAAGAGCAAATTAAAATATAATTTTACCTACCTGTTTCTAGGGATTAGACATTTAACCTTTCATCCAATTGGAACAGAGTTTAATACAGTCGTGAGGCTGTTTGAGAATAGGGTCTCGAGGGGAATTATTGACCAGGGAAAGAAGTGACATTAGACGAATAAATGGTGCAGCGGGGAATGTCAAATCCGTTTGATGATAAAATAATTTTAGAATCAATATAAACATCTGATTTGATAATGCATTCTGTTCGCGAACTGAATACCAAGAACATATTGATAATTTAGCGTATTTCTTTATTCTTTATCTTGTTTTGTCTTTGTTTCTGTGTATACATTTGATTTGTTTGCATCCGTGTTCGTTCTTACTTCATAATAGGCCTTCCTTATATTGAGTAAGTACAGAAATAAATAAATGAATTTAATAAAATATACTTAGTTTTACTGTTGCTAGTGTCCACATGTTTAACCGAACACTGCTCTCAGGAAGTGTCAGTATCTGACTGCAAGAGCGAACAGACGTTCGTTTGTTTAAATTTTCGATGACCTTTAAAGTGGTAAGGAAAATATGAGACAGTTGGTGTGATTAATTATATTACATGATCATCAATATGCTTATGAAAAGTAATGTACCAAAACTGACCCTTGAAGTAAGCTTGAAAGGACAACAGAAAGCGACGAAAACAATTCGGATAAACTCGTACATAACTCTGTATTTTACTTAAATACGACACCATAAAAATTCAGTTCAATACTTTGTATTTACATGCTAGCTTAATAGCTGCAGGAGCTATTAGAGAGTTAGCACAATCAGATAAAAGAAACGTGAAAGAAATATTACAGAGATGTAGGGCAAATACATGTCTGTATGTATGTATATGGGATACCTTACTACATGAAATGTAATAATAATAATAATAATAATGTGCTTGATGACTCCAATATTTCAACTACAACACTTTATTTCCTTTAGAACTTTCACTGTGTTTCAGGTATGAAGAAATTGTTGTGTAATAGCTAACACTTGTATTTGTAACAAACACCTTGAATAATTACATAATATATTTTTTTATTGCTTGTGGGGTGGGACTAAGTCCCTTGTACTGCGGCCACTTCTAGCCTATTGTACCAGCCCCAGATGATAGGTGAGGGTGATTGGTGGAATGAAAATTGGCAGAGGAAACCGAAGTACTCGGAGAAAACCTGCCCCAGCGCCACTTTGTCCACCACAAATCCCACTTGACAAGACCCCGGGATCGAACCCGGGCCGCCGCGGTGGGAAGCCAGCGACTAACTGCTTGAGCTATGGCGAGGCCTACATAGTACATAAACAGGTAATTGAATTCCATCAAGTGTAACTCTTTTATTAGAAGTAACTACATTTTCCCTCATATTTTTCGATCTTTATTGGCCACCATCAAAAGACCGTATAAAGAAACTGCTTGATGTATGTGGTTGCTTGAACGTAGGTTGCCACTCTAGCATCATAAAGGGACTTACGGTAGTTGTAGACATTAATAGAAAATAGTTATCATAATTAAAATAAGTTGTGTATTTCAAGAGTAATTTGTTAATTAAAAACAGGTTAAGAATTCTTGTTGAGTAGACAGAAGAAAGCCGGTCACGGTAGCCGAGCGGTGTAAGGCATGTACTGGCTTCGCTCGCTTGGAAACCGGGATCGTGGGTTCGAATCCCTCTCAGGGCATGGATGTTAAGTTTGTGTGTGTGCATGTTTCTGTGTTTGTGTACAGGTAGAGGCCTTGCGACGAGCTGATCACCCGCCCGAGGAGTCCTACCGAATGTGTAAGATCTAGAAAAACCGAAAGGAGAAGTTCATGTCGGTAGGCCTAGGCCCACTGGGGCTGTAGTGCCAAGGAAAAAAAAGACAGAAGAACATAATGATGGCATTCGCTTCTGTTGTTAGTTATGCAGAATGCCTTATCGGCTGTTGTGCTGTGGGCCGTATCTCAGTCTGTGTGATGTTGTGTGTAATACAGAGAAGTACACGGAAGTGTGTGGGGCGTTACTTACTTTCTACGTGTCGTTACTTTATCTATTCTATAGATGAAAATAGCGTTGAGTTGCATCTGGTTATTTTGGATCCTTCTACTCTTACGTACTTTAAGTCGAGTATAGTATACATATATTGTCATATTATAGATCAATGCATCAAGGAACAGAAAGAGAAATGTATTGAACAATAGCCTGAAGCCATTTAGCAGTCATTTTTTTTAAGTTCATGCCAATATTCTTCGTGTATCTGTAGAGATATCTAACTTGGAACACAATATGCTATCAATTTCACGGTCTAAGCGCCCCTTTTCTTCTGTTTCTCTGTCCTGTTTTTATAGTTATCCCTTAGCTATGCTGCAGGACACTACAAGGTGGGGATCTGGCCCCCGCCCCCGCCCCATCGTGTGTATAATGAAGTCTATTGTCTCCAGACTTCAAACCTGCGGTCCCTGCACTGATGTCACTGAGCTCTGTAGTACAGACAGGAACAAAACTTATCGCAAAGCGTACCTACACAGGGCAGCTACTTACTCATGGAGCTGAGCCCTTCTTGAGGAGCCTCTAATTCTGCAGCTACTCAAGAATTTTCCATCATTTTATGGAACCCGAAGGTTCATTACCATGTTCACAAGAGCCCTCCACTGGTCCCTATCCTGAGCCGGGTCAATCCAATCCATCACATCCTATCCTCTCTCTAAGATGAATTTTAATATTGTCCACCCACCTACGCCTTGGTCTTCCCAGTGCTCTCTTTCATTCTGAATTCCCCACCAATATCCTATATACATTTCTCGTCTCCCTCATTCGTGCTACATGCTCTGCCCACCTCATCCTCTTTGACTAGATCATTCTAATTACACGTGTAGTTGGAGAAGCGTACAAGTAATGGAGTACAGAGCAGAGCTACACAAGTATAAATTATGAAAATTTCGGGTTTTAAATTTGTGAGATCATAATAACTCTTGCAAATGTTCGTCTTGCTGAACATCTTATGAATATTTTCGAACCAGCCCACAATTTTATTTACGTAGAACAGTTTACCATAATAAATCTAAATACGTTAGTGCTCGCAAAGCATTCAGTACAAGAAGCACGAAGACTGCTCGTGGTAAGAATTGTTTACAATTCTATGAAGATTCCCCAATACAAGGAAACAATACAATTATGTTCGATTCAATACCAGTATATTTACTTGTTATTCAATGTTTATTTACTAATTCATTTATTATATATTTATTGATGATGTCAGTAGCTTAAATTATAGGCCTATACTATCGATATTTGGTTCAACAAGCCAAGCAATATTTTCGTATGCGAGCCAATGACTGCCATTAGTAAATAAATAAAGTCGCTTACAACCAAAAGCAAATGTAGAACCACATCTGATTCAATCTGCTCTAAGAAGACAAGCTAAAGGCTACATTTTGAACTGACATATCTGGAGTGATATCACCTTTTGAGGCATAAGGTATCTCGTAAATCGCTGTCATCTCTTCAGTCTTAGTATGTCCGGTTTCAAGCATGAGTTAAAGTTTATGTAAGAACTAAGGTCTTCAAAGCGGTTGTTATGAAACGTTATATCTTTGGGATATAGCGTCACATAGTTCAGTGAAAGCCAACCGACGTTTCGGAGGAACATGCTTCCATCATGAAGCTCGAAATGTAGGACAAGCAAAAAAAAACACAGCTTGGAGCAGGTAGCGAGTAGAGCTCTTCAACGCATTAGACGGAGGGATATCGCAGAAAATAGAACTCTTTATCTTCGTCGCTTCCAGCATACACGCTTCAGTGTCACTGATTTTGAAACTCTTGTTAATTTTAACAATTTAGCTCGTTTATTGTCATGGTGCATATGCGCCGCAAATTTCTTCACGAAACGTCTTTAAACACATAACAAATTTCGCTCTACTTTCAAGGAGAGCTGTCAGGAAATTCTGTTAACCTTTATTTTTACATACACCTACACTCAATGTCAACGTTTAAATAGATTAAAAATAATTTTCCTTATAAACAAACGAACTTCGTAAAATATAGCATTTCACTAGGTCGAAAACCCTGACGAAGAGAAGGGTGTGCTTGTTTTCCTTATTCTTGTTATTATTGCTCTTTATTGGTTGGATTTGAATAATGGAGGTACGGAAATTTTTTGAACCGATCACAAGCCCGGTGATACAACAGTTTTTTATTTACTTTGGCGCTACAGCCCCACTTTGGGCCTTGTCCTACCTCAATGAAACTCTTCATTTCACTTCGGTTTACTAGATCTTACACATTAGGTAGGACGCCTTGGGAGGGTGATCAGCTCGTCGCAAGGCCTCTACCTGTACACAAACACAGAAAAGCGCTCACGCACACATAAACACACACAAAAAAATACTAGACATCCATGCCCTGAGTGGGATTCGAACCCACGATCACGTCGCCCGTGCGAGCGAAGACAGTGCATACTTTAGACCGCTCGTCTAGCGTGACCGGCGTGATACAAAAGTACTAACAGTAGAATAATAATAATAATAATAATAACAATAAACTTCGGAATTTACTGAAGTACAGCAACTAAAACATTCATAATAATAATTTGTTTGTTTCTTGATGTTAACAAGCAATTTCTGTATCTTTCAGATGATCATATTGGATTTCGTGCGTTCTCATCTGTAAGGTCTGAGCCCAAAGGTAAGAAACTATGTAACATTGTTGCATTTTGATGTTCCCTCTTTGTGACCTACATACCTCGTCTGTTGCGCCTGGTCATTACTTATGAAAATACTGGACTGTTTTGTCTTTATTATGTCTGCAATATTGATAACTGCTCATTAAGTTGGTAAGCCTGTATAAGAAATCGATCCTGCAACATACGCCACAATTGAAAATTTTGGTTCTAGCCTATAGCCTATAGACCGGTATCATAAGCAAAGGTGCCCTTAGTATCGTAATCGTAACGAGACATCGCGGTTCTTAATTTTTGCCTTATCAATGAAAAATGTAGATCAACAAGCAAATGCCAGTGAAAGTAAAGCCCTAAAATATGTGGGTTTAATTTTAAAGGGGTTGATTAATCGTAAATAAACTGAAACTACTGCGAAGGTGGTGTTTGCTGAACAAAGGAAAATAATTGGCGTACAAATTATGTATAGTTTTTTTGTTGAAATTGAACTATAACTATTCTGGGTACATTTTTATTTGCATGAATTATATTGGAAATCTTGTATGTTGTTGTATGTTACTCCATATTGTCAAGGAATCAAATATGCTTCAAAAGTTGCTTGGGTAATTTCGACTTTTGCCGTAATTAATTTTACTTTAAAATTTTCTATGTATCAGCCGCAGAAAATTATCGTAGTTCTTAGGGAAAAACTTCTGGGATAACATCAATTAATATTACTGGGAATATCACGAGTATCAGCGTCAGTGGGAAAACTAATATCAGTGTTATGGGCCTACACATGTTGCTGGGCATATCCTCATCTCAGCTGCTTCATAAACCCTTCCTAGGTCAGTTGTGCTCGAACTGTCATTAGTAGTGTCACTGCAATACTTCTGCTGCTACTACTGGGCCTATTCCTCTGATTTGGCTATCGTATTTTCATTTGCATTTATTAATTAACCTAATTGTTCTTATGAAAAATGCTGTCTTCTAGGATGTGGCGCCGCGAAAATATTGTGTAAACCGACGTTTTTCTCTGGTTCCTCGCTCGCGGATTTTTATATCCTGCAGATGGAGGAGATACGATCCTCCGAAACGTCGGTTTACACAATATCTACACGACGCCACATCCCAAAAGAAGGCATTGTTCATAATCACCTTGATAACCTTAAGACTTACATGATTGTTCTGATGATTACTGTGGTTTGGTATGCTTCCTACGGACTGGAAATTTCCTACTGTATACAAACGATTATACTGAAGTGCAGCTATTCAGATTATGAAGCTCTGTCGCGAAAGTAAATTGTGATATATTCATACGTGCCAGAAACTTGCTATATAAACGCAAGATTTACCTGAACTTCTAACAATGTGCAATGTAATAATACATGTTTCTCTCTGCGGCCCAAGCCTTTTCATTCCATCCAGACTGTGTGTTACACTATAAAGTTTTAGTTAGGTATAAAGAAAATATTTTAACATATATAAACTGTGAAACATAATTCCACCATTACGTTGGATTTGGGTCCATGGATTAAAGCAACAAATTAGGGTGTATCATTGAAAAACGTTGCCTGGAAGACTGAATTTTTACGCCACTTCTGTTTTCGTTCGTTAGCAGTGAACTAAAATCTTTATACCACGTCTGTACAGGAGGGACGCACCCTCTCTTCTGAGGAATTCGATCCGTCTCCCCTAAAAAATAAACGTTTCACATTAAAGAAACTAAAAATATTGGTTAGATAAGTATGCGCCCCGGTGGGGAGTATTTGTAGGAGAAAGTGAAGAGTACAAGAAGATAGGAATAGTAACACAGTAAGTTAGAGAGAGAATAGGAAATGAAAGAAGAGAAACTGAAAGGGGCGTATGCAATGCAAAAGGAAAGGCTCAAGCTACTTTACCTGGATTGTGGCGCGCGATGGCGTAAGCAGATTTATAAGTTTGCACTAGATAATATCTGTTGATTCTTTCAAGCAAAGGCAAAGGTAAAGTTGTCCCTGTACTTAACTAAGTAAGCACTACGCCATGAAGGTTCATAGGGGAGTGGCTGTATAGACTTATATTTTTTTTTTATCTCTATACTAGTTGGATGTAAGTGGTCAGTTTCACGCCCTGGCCGCTTTACACCCGGTAAATAGCCTCCGGTACCCATTGGAGGGGAGATTGGGTGGACTCCAGAGCCGGTCTGAACGACATGGAGAAGTGAAAATTCCTGACCCCAAAGGGACTCGAACTCCGAACCTTCGGTCGTCCAGCCATTAGCTAGTCGCTATACAGACTGCGCTATTGCAGCTCTTTGATCTTTTCAAAAACTAGAAAAATTCTTAGTTTCTGTTCTCTTTTTCGATTTCTGATCTGAACCACAAAGAAAATTTCTGATGGAATATTCTGACCTGTCAGCTAAACTTGAACGTCATTAATTGAATTTCATTTATCCCCTGATTTTGAACCTAAACCTTTCCGTGTAATCCATGCGGCTGTCGTGAAATTTGTGTTGAACTAACGAAGATATCAGACCTATAGAATTAGCCCATATAACCAGTGTCTCGTTGTAATTTTCGTGTCGTGAAACGGCAATAAAAGTTAATTTAGGTTACTGTCTTTGCTAGCTCGAAAGCTGAGATCGTGGGTTCGAATCCAACTCAATGCATGGATGTCTGTATTATGTGCTTTCATTTTGTGTTTGCGTTGTTCTGTGTGTAGGTAGAGGCATTGCGAGTCCTACCGACTGTGTATAGGACCAAGAAACTGAAAAAGCGGCCAAGGCCCAACAAAGGGCTGTACAGCCATAATAATAAGAATAATAAATAAGGATAACTGTCATACATTTTGTGACACTTCCTATGTTCATTTCGAAAAGAAAACTGCAGTAACAGCTTGTAACCTGTAGGATGGATTCCCTTCAAACACGATATACACGATATGGTAGTCATCACCAAATTTAGGACAGATATTTTTATTTTCATTACGTCCAGTCCACTTGGGGCCACTTTACTTAAGATGATAAATTAGCTTTCACGCATATTCTCTTACAGATTCTAGTTTCAATTCGAATACAGTACATTCTTTGTGCAGTGTTGAAGTTATATATTTCATTCACTGTAATTTATTTGGTAGTCCAGTTTTCTTTAAGAGCACGATCATTCTTTACCTACTTTAAAATCTTTGATACGTTATGAGGCAGATCATTAAATATACAACAGTTCTCTTAAACGGATATTGACGTGTAGGATTTAAATTACCTTAATTAGTTTAAAGCCCGCTTTATGTAAGGGCCTGAATGCATTTTGGGGCCTAAATGGTCAGTTTCAGCCTGTGAGAGAAGTACCTTCAGCGAACATTTGACAAAATAGAGTGAACATAAATAATATATTCATAAGTAAGTACATAAGGTATTCCGTCTACAAAAAAAAATTCTGCATTTAAAAACAAAGAAAACACTGCTTTATCAACATTATTCAAATTATTTAAATGCATGAATTCATGTATTAAGTTTTGGTAAAAAATTGTAAAACTGAAAATCCTTAGATAATAAAATTTAAAATTAAAGATATAAAGATTAAAATTATAAACTAAATATTAAGGCATGAAGGTTAAAATTCTGTTTTAGATGATAATTAATTGCAATTCATCGGCTCATGCTGGAGCACTGTACGCCTGATGATGAGCCGGTGTAAGGGTCGAAACATGCTGCGTCTGTAAAAACACAATAAAAACAAATGTTGATAGAGTAGGGTCTTCTTTGTTTTTAAATACAGAATATTGTTGTGTAGACCGCATGCCTTATATACTTTTGTATATCTTATTTATGACACACAACAGGATTCACACTATTAGGACAGAGTAAACATGTTAAGTTTTACGCACTTTGTACATAAAATTCTGTGATTTAAAGAGAAACACTACGTTATTAATAGTATGGGCCTACTTGTTAAATGTGCGCAAGTGGACTCATTGCCCAAGTCACATGCTAACGCCCGGCCATCTACCTGCTGGACCCTCAGTGTTGTTAACCAACAGATAATCATCATGCATAAATGAATTATATCTCTCTAAGGCCATTCCGAAAGGCATGTTCACCTCTTCTTACCTGTAACTAAGGTGTGACAAGTTAGAGATCAAATTCTCGTATTTGTACTGCAAAACTTGTCTCTTATAATTAGTAAAAAGTAAAGTATAGTTATCCCTGTAACAGGCCGTGGAAGCCCATAGGGATGTCAGATGTTGAGGTTCCCACATTTTCTAGATAATCGGCTAATAGAAAAATTAATTAAATGACATTTGAAGTAGTCCTATTTTATATTCGTAATTAGCATATATGTGGGCACGCGGTAGCATAGTTGGTTAAGGCACTATGTTACATGCTGAAGTTCGCGGGTTCGAGTCCTGATGAAGTGGATTTTTTCAATTTACCTAATCCTTCCAGCCACACTATGGCCCTGAGGTCTACTCAGCCTCTAACGGAAATTAGTACCATGAATCTTCCTGTGGGGTAAAGGGCGGCCGGCGCTTAAGGCTCACAACATTACCGCCATTTGTGAGTAGATTGTCTACATACTGTGTGACCCTCATCGTCTCACAACCCTATGGGCCTCCGTGGCCGGTTACAGGGGTAGCTTTACCTTTACATAATTAGCATATGTGGTACCTAGAAATGCAAACGAGATTTATTTAATCCCATTAGCCTAGTGCATAGAAGAGGAGACTTGCATGCAACACAGTGTTTCAATTGAAGCTATTGGAAAAATAACGAGCCATAAAAATCCTTTATTAATTATCTGAATTGAATATTGAGTAACCAAACAGCTCAGATTTATTCCATGCTTAGCAAAAATAATGATAGAATATACTGTTAGGCCCATATGGCGATGATTGAAGAACCTGTGTTGCAAGATGGAAATCACATGCCACGGCTTTGGAATAGTTCGGTCCAGCGCCTTATATGCAACCCCCTCTCCTGTGACGTGTCAAGTCGCGACTTGGGAAGGACTTGGAGACATGATTCACCTAAGCAATTACGTACAATCGACC